TTACATTTTGATGAATTATGTGCCTACTTAACCTAAACTGTGCTGGCTCTGTAAAATGTCTATGCACTCTTCTGAGATAGGAGGCGCTGTACTTCTGAGAAACGTGCTGCTCTCTCCTTGGAGCCTGTGCATTTGGAGACCACTCCTGCCTGGTCACAACATGGGAATCCGCGAAGTGTTTAAAAACTGTCGCAAGACCGGTAGAGTCAAGTGGGGCAGTCCGTAGGAGAGCACGTTCAGAGGGAATATCTATGCTAACAGAATTACACCAAAGTATATTTTCAGGACGTCTTTCTTATTTCTGCCATCTATTGGAATAAATTATTTTTCTGCTTTCTGTGGAAATCTGGTTTCAGTGTTTGTTAAGTTCATTTTTGGAAGCTTTTCTATCTTTAGATATGATGCCTTTAAAAAAAAACACTGGTGTAGTTCAAATTAGGTTGGAAGTGTAAACCTGGTCATGTGGTTTGACATACCTGAAGATACTGGTGAGTACTTCCCTGAATCATTAGTAATCATTTCAGCGCTTACTGTAGCCAAGCAAGGCACTGGAGGAATCAAAGGTGTGGAAATTGAGGTCCCTGCAAGGTCAAGAGCTGATACACAATTTGGAGAGATAAGGTCAGTATACATAGAACTGTAATGCAAGGCCATGTCTGACCGTGGTCCATAAAAAAGTGGTCATGATGGTGAGCAAGTTGAAGGTTCCTTGTATCACAGCAGCTCCTTGTATCATCACACCCCCAGAAATAGCACCGGAGAAATCGAGGCAGATTAAAAAGCCTGGTATAGGACAGTATTTCTTGTGTTTTGGTAGCAGGCATCTGAATAATTCACTAATTTGGGGAGTTTATTAGTTTTAAGAAATTAAAATTTTAAATGGATCTAAATTTTCACCAGTGCATGGCTTTTTGACAACCAGCCAAGCCAAGAATGGATTTCCTGTTTTGCAGTTTGTGCTTTTCTATTCCTCCCCGACTATCTGAACTCATTGCTTTGCCGTTCTTAGGACAAAAGAGTTTCGAGTTGAAATGACCGTCCTGCTTTCATTTCTTTGTTTCCATTCTTTACTTTTTGAACTTCAGATTTTCCTGAGAGGCAACTACATACTTTACATTTCCAGCAAAAGGGTAGCCAATTTCATGGAATCCATAAAACCCTGAAGATCTGACATTGGAGGGGACCATGGTAACAAATGCTAGCTAACCCCATCGTTTTATAGATAAGCAATCTGCACCCAGACAGGGAGAATCGCTTGCCTAGTTAAATGTAGCTGCTCAGAGGCAGACCAGGGAGTAGGATCCCTGGTTTTGTAATTTCCATTCGAAAGCCCTTTTCACTTGCTACCCTGACTCTCCCACAGTTGGAGCCAACTTTGAGCTTCGAGTAGAAGGGAAGACTTCTGCCAGGCTGTCTCCCATTAGAGCAGTTCACTTGACCCTTAATATCTGTCATTTAAGAAGGCAATGCAGTTGATTACGGTGGCCACATAAAAGGATGCCACAGTCTTTGAGCCCTAGCCGTGGGGGAAGCGTGACTCCATTGCAGCTCTCCACCCAGATTCTTCTCGCCAGGCTCTGCACCCCATTATCCCTGGGGGCGGGGGAGTCCGTCTAAAACCTTCCCACTGCCACCCTGCACTGCTTTCTTGCAAACCACCACGGTTTTGAAGCTGAGCCTTGTGATGTCTCTTGTGTAGTGGCACTTCTTTGAGTGCTGCTTTCACGTGGCTTGAGTTCAGCATGCTGCATTAGCCAATAGGGAGCCTACATAGTTTTAGGACAGCAGACCTTAGCTATGGCGTGCTTGCAGCAGTGATGGAGAGCAGCATTCATGATCATATTTTGACACATTTCCAATGTAATGGCCTAGTTTAAGGCAGAGGTCATGACCCTGGCTGATCCAAGTCCCTGATTTCTGCCTTGTTCTGTTACTTTGTACTGATGCATTTTTTTTTTTTACTTGCCATTTGCTCTCAATTAGACATTGGGAAACCAACTGGATTACATTGCTATTTGCACTAGGGCTTGCTTGCCACTTGCTGGGATCCAATTCCTACAGACACGAGTCAGGAAGATTAGTATGTTGGCTGCACTAGTAACAGTGTGAAACACAAGGATGAGAGCCCTGAAGGGCCTGGTTCTGTGCCAGGGAGGTTTTGATTGTCCCCCAGAAGGGAGCATTCTGCTCAGTAAGCCTTCTAGGGAAGGAAAAGGCCCTAATGAGGTAATAGTTCAGGCGTGAACCTGGAAGGGTTCTCCAAACCCTACTGGGACTTACTGCTAGTGAGGCCCTGATGGCCTCAGCATAAAGCCTATGGAAGAAGACGGGAGTAGGGGCGCCTGGGCAGCTCAGTTGGTTGAGCGTCTGACTTCCGCTCAGGTCATGATCTCACGGTTCGTGGGTTTGAGCGCCACGTTGGGCTCTGTACTGACAGCTCAGAGCCTGGAGCCTGCTTCAGATTCTGTGTCTCTCTCTCTCTGCCTCTCTCCCCCTTGTGCGAGCTCGCTCTCTCAAATATAAACATTAAAAAAAATTTTTTTTTGAAACGAAGAAGAGGAAAGGACCTCCTTTCCTACCCAAATTAGAGATCAAAGAGTTCCTAGATAATTGCAAGCCCCTAAAGGCCAGGTAGGGTCACTCTGTCACCTCATAGCTTTATTGGTATTGCTGAAATGAGGGAATCAGCTCAGATTCCGTGAGGGAAACTTGTCGAGTTCCCTTTGCCCAGGAAGTCACAACTCTTGAGCCTGTTTCCTTGTTTATGAAAGTGTTGAGAATATTAATGTTAACCAGTATATAAACTCAGATACATGTTTTCTCCTCCCCTCATTCCTAGTAACTGACCCATTTTGTTACAGCATGGCCCATTGTCTGAGATGGATGGATGGCTGTGAATCACATTCTGCTTGGCAGTTCACTTGCTCCGGTGATTGTCGCGACCCCAGCTTAGAAGGAGCTCCATCCAGCCCTTTGAGAGGATATTGAAAATGTCCTTCTACAAAGCCTGTCCAGGTGAACACAGTGTGGACTCCTGGTATGATCATTAGACTAAGTGAGGCCCCAGGTTTGCAATCTTACTGCATCACTTGCAAGCTGGATTAACTTTGCACAAATCATTTAATTTATGAGCCTCAATTTTTTTCTTCTACAGAATGGGGCAATACCTGCCCTTTCTGCTATCCAAGTTATTACCAAATCAGATGGTGGTGGTGAAGATGATTTGTAAATTTTAATAATACACAAAGTGTATTTTGCAAAGAAACGACAAAACCGCTGGGACCCCCTGATGACTTTCCTATTAAGATAAGCCCCAGAGGGGCAGCCAACTGATATTTTCTTCTACATTTGGTTTACCTTTTGATTAGTCATTTGTGCTTGGGTCATAGAAAAAGAAAAGGCATGCTCCAGGCTCCAGGCGTGAGCTCTCAGCAGGGAGATAGATCTCTTAGAAACCATCATAGCATAAATGTCTGGACCACATCCTTCCTGCCCTTCCAGATTCTACACGAGTTCTATGAGCCCTTCTGCCAGGACAGGAGTATTTCCAGCATGATTTGAAGATGTAATCTGAGGGGCACTGGTTGCTTTTAACAATGTTTTCCTTGTTTTCTTTCAACATAGAATGATGTCTATATCCTTATTACTGACCCAACAAAATTTTATCATATGTTACTTTGACATTGCTTCAGATATAGCACCATTTTGTGCATTTCTTCTGGGCAGTTTTTTAACAACAGTGCTTGGACTCATGGGAGATTTGGCCCTGGATTTCCTTTCCGAAAAATTTGAAGAGTCAATTGCTCTTTTATTAACTATATTTAAATTATATCTTAAAATACATATTTAGGCATTTTAGAATGGGTTCACCACCCTATCCTTGCTCCCTCCTGTTCAGAGAACAAATGTATTTTTTTTAACGTTTTATTCATTTTTGAGAGAGAGAGAGAGAGACAGCACGCCAGCAGGGGAGGGGCAGAGAGAGGGAGACACAGAATCCGAAGCAGGTTCCAGGCTCTGAGCGGTCAGCACAGAGCCTGATGTGGGGCTCAAACCCATGAACCATGAGATCATGACCTGAGCCGAAGTCAGCCGCTTAACTGACTGAGCCACCCAGGTGCCCCTAGAGAACAAACGTGTTTAAAATGAAGATGGGCTCTTAGGCAAAAGTTATGTATTTTTTTTTCTTGCCCCTTTATTTCAACTTCTTCTCAAGAGTTGAATGGATGGAATTAATTGTAGAAAAATCCGTAATTTTCAAAGAAAAAAAATCACAGTATAAAATACCATTGTAAAGGATATTTATCATGGTACAGAATGAAAAAATACCTTAATGCCCTTAAGGAGAGGCTTAAATAAGTTATACTGCACCCAACTGAAGGAATATGGTGCATTTAACAATTTCTTTTTTTTCTGGAACATATGCCTAGAAATGAGATTGAAAAGAGAAAACTACTAACATTGCTTCTGGATGGGAATCATAAGTGATTAAAATTTTCTTTTTCCTTTTTAAAAAAGCATGTTCTCCTATGGAAAGGTAATACTTGAGTAAAAAACAGTAACAATTATTTTAATAACAAAAGATAATAGAATATTAAGAGAAAAAGGATTTTTAACTTCTGTACATAGCAAAAAGCCTGGTGAGAAACAGACCAAAATGTTGATAATGATTATTTCTTTTATGGCTTTGTATATTTTCCAAAAAGAGCATGGTATTCATAATCGGGGGTAAGAGGGAAGGCATTTTGGAGGGGACCGTTGTCAAAATAGTGTTAGTACTTCCTTCAAACATTATATAACACACGCACTTTTTTTTTTTTTTTCTTTGAGAGCAATTCAGCGTCAGGGGAAATGAAGTCAACTAGCTCTATTAAAACACTGAAGCTATTCTGAATCAATAAAAATCAGCAAGTTCACATAGCAATTCTGATTAACTGTTTCCATTGTGCAGGACAAAGTACAGAGCATTCAGCTTATAAAATTCTGGCCTCCTTTTGTATAGGTGTTCACAGTGACAGCATGGTGAAATGAAAGGGGAGCATTGATTTCGATTCTGCCCACATAGAAAAGTAGAAGCCTGGGGTATTAATGTTCTGGGGTCCCACATGCATTAGAATAAGCCCCACTGTTCTTTCCCTCCCAAGTGCTCCAAGCAAGTCTTTTATTCAGGCTGTGTCACCACTTCAGTTAAAACCTCCTCCTTTTGAGGGACGCCTGGGTGGCGCAGTCGGTTAAGCGTCCGACTTCAGCCAGGTCACGATCTCACGGTCCGTGAGTTCGAGCCCCGCGTCGGGCTCTGGGCTGATGGCTCAGAGCCTGGAGCCTGTTTCCGATTCTGTGTCTCCCTCTCTCTCTGCCCCTCCCCCGTTCATGCTCTGTCTCTCTCTGTCCCAAAAATAAATAAACGTTGAAAAAAAAAAATTAACAAAAACCTCCTCCTTTTGAAATGTGTTGGCCCTTTTTCCCCCCCAATACTCACCCCCACCACACACCCCCCCCCCCCCCCCCCCCCGGCCAGCCATAAAACAGGAGTATTCTAGTGGCTAAGGATGCTCAACGACTAATACTGCTACCCACGTGAATCCAGTCAGGATTCTGACATGGTTTCCATAGTTTCTTTACACTGTCCAAAGTGTGGTACTACACTGTGGGTTGCCACTCCAAAACAGAACAAGCAGAGCAGATGTTTTGTAAAAGTAGGCGATGTATTTGAGGAAGCCGGAGTGGAGAAGCTAAGTGTGACTGTGCAAGCCACAAAAGCTTTTCAGCAACACTCAACAGGTATTTCCAGCTCCTGTTCTTTGTCCCGATGTTAGCTGCTCGGAACAGTGGGAAGCAGGAGACTCCCCCTGGGCTCCTGGAGCTTAGAATTTAGCAGGGTGACAACTGGCACTGGGTGTCTCTGGTGGGTGGAGCCCGAGGTAGCCAGGTCCTGTGCCTTAGGACGGACTGGTTGCTGGGTAAGAGCACTAGAAACACTGGTAGCGGGAGGCTTCTTGAAGGAAGTGACCTTTAAGGGTAAACCCAAAGGATGATTAAGAGCTAGGCCAACGACTGATGCCGCTGTTTCAAGAGTCTGCGAGAGAGAAGTATCCTGGGTTATGGTAATAGGAATGAAATGGAGTCAGAGAAGTAGTGTTTTGGGGGCTAGCGCATATTTACTAGCATATTCAGGTGACTGATTGGATGTTAGGGGTAGGGGTAATTAAGGGACAGGAAGGAGTCCAGGTTCCCCGCTGGGTGGACATTGGAACCTTTCACTGAGATGAGGGCAGTGAGGAGTTTAGTTGTAGACAGATGGAATTTGCCAGCACCAGAGGTATGCACGTGCAGATACCCAGTGGGCAATTGTTATGTGGCTCTGGAAGTTGAGCAGGAAACCCGGGCTGTAGGTGGGGGTGTGGGGCACCAGCATGGAGATAACTGAACCTGTGAGTGTGGCTACGAGGGCCAGGAAGAGCATGTAGAGTGAGCAGAGACGCAGTCTGGGCTGGAGGCTAGGAGCATCCTCTCTTAAGCGGTGGGCAGAGAAAGAAGAGGAATCTAAAGGGGACCCATGGAAAATGCCGCCTTGGCTTGGACAGCAGTCAGCACCGCCCTCCCCTACAGCTTCCTCACATACCTTATCCTATGAGTAAGTGGGACATATTCCTATTTTACAGTTGGAGATACTGCGGTTACGTGACTTAGCCAGTTTCACCCAGAGGCTACCACCTGAAATCCACAAAATTAGGTGCATGTACACTTGTCTGTGTTTTTCCCGGGAGCAAGTATATGGCTTTCATGAGACCTCTGGAAAGGTTCAGAACCACTGTTACTAGTACTATCAACAGTAGGGGCACCTGGCTGGCTCAGTTGGTGGAGCATACAACTCTTGATCTCAGGGTTATGGGTTTGAGCCCCATGTTGGGCAAAGAGTTTACTTAAGAAAATAATACCAGGGGCGCCTGGGTGGCTCAGTCGGTTAAGCGTCCGACTTCGGCTCAGGTCACGATCTCGCGGTCCTTGAGTTCAAGCCCTGCGTCGGGCTCTGGGCTGATGGCTCGGAGCCTGGAGCCTGCTTGGGATTCTGTGTCTCCCTCTCTCTCTGCCCCTCCCCCATTCATGCTCTGTCTCTCTCTGTCTCAAAAATAAATAAATGTTAAAAAAAAATTAAAAAAAAAATACCAACAATAGCTGATCCTTCCCTGGTGCCTACTGTGTGCCAGGCCCTAAGGACTTTACCATTCACCAGACTGTAACTGGGGCAGGACGGGGCAAAGAGCAGTATCGCACATCTCTCCCCTTTCTAATAGTCTCAACTCCTCTGTGTCCCCCCAACCCCCAGGCGGGAGAAAAGACCGCCAATCTGGTCCTCTTTTCTCCCGTGGTGTTTACAGGGGCCGCTTACTGTTACTACTTCCTTTTTTAGAAGGAGAGGAGAACTTCCCCCTACTTTGTCCTAATCTCACTTCAGTCTCCACCTCGACTCCCAGTTTTCCCAAAGGTGACTCCCTTGTTTTGCCATGCTGGGAAGAGATGCTTGGATAGTGGGCAAGAAGCCCCCTCATGCCAAGCTGACTGGTTGTAGGGGCACCAGGGAAGAGCTGTGGCCAGGTCATCAGGACTCCTGCAGCCATGATCCTGGCTTTAGCCTGAGTGATGATGGGTGGGCCCACCAGGTTGCTAAGATGTCCTCAGGGTCTATATGGAAAGGCAGGCACCCTGCAGGGGCCTAGGTGGGCACTGAGGTATGGGGGCCAAGGCATGCATCTTCCCCTCCTAACAGGATAGTACCTGCACTTGGCATTCAGGTTTGTTAACGTGCTTTATGTCTTGCTGTGACTGGTGTGTAAGAACAGGTGTAGAGGATGGCACCCATTTCTTTTACACATTTCACTCCTGGGCTGGACCCTGTGAGGCCAGGGTGAAAACACTGGTGGTACCTTCCCTGGTGTTGCTGTCACACCAGGGAAATTTATGACATTGCGAATTTGCAGGGAAAACAAAAAAAACCCTGGGATACACAGGACCCCCCCCCCCCCACTTCACCCAGAGTTCTCTGAACTTTTTATTCTTATTTATTTCTGTCTTCTAGCAACCTCTCTGGACTGTTCACTTGCTGGATGTGGAAATCCAGCTTCATAGTTTTACACTGGATTGAGGCTTTCGGAGCACACTTCCATCCATAGCTCAGCAATCTATTATCAGAGTTACAGGTCTTGGTTCCTGCTGCTTATCAATCTGTTCCTCCACTTGCTGTTTTTATCGGCCTACTTCGGGCCTCACCAAGAAGAATGTCTTGTTGTACCTGTCCTTTGGGAATCTTTCCTACAACAAATGCTAGATTGTTCTCACTCTCTGGCTTCCTGGTTTGCTATCAGTTAGAGTTGCTGATACTAACAATGTATGTTCAGCTCAGTGCTGACAAAAAAACCAAACCAAAGCAAAAAACAAAATCCCACAGGAACTGCTAGCTGTCCTAGAAGTTTTCAGTCTTAGTGGAACAGACAAAACAATTTTGACAGGAATGCCGCCTTGGAAGATAATGGAATCACCAAACAGTCTGAGTTGCTGGCTGCCTTCTCTTGCCAGGCTACTTTCCCTTTGCTGCTGCTTCTCTTCTAAGAAGCTTCTGGTCACATTCCTCCCTAGAAGGTGGAGGAGGGGAGAGCCAAGACTGTTGAGCACCATTATGCATCAGGTTCTGCATTTGATTTTCAAAATCAACCTGAGGGAAGTTACGCCAGAAATCAAGGAACAGTCAGCTTAGTTTGTGCCTTGCCCCAGTACGTTAGCAAGAAAGTGGCCCTGAAACACATAGGTATCTTGTTGTTAACCCCTGCACCGCGGCCTCCCCTGTTATAAACTCTGTTGTTGTTATTGGAAGCTTTTCATGTCAGTCTCCTTCAGGTTCTGGGTTCCTCCAGGGCGAGGACTGTGTCTTCATGCACACATGAGACGTTCAACTTGTCATTTTATTTCTCTCTCTTCTCTTCCCCTACTCACCACTAAGCACAGGCTTGATTGACTATGCTGTCTAGTGACGTGCTTTGCATTCTCCCTAATTCAAGGACATATTAGTGTTTATGCCACTTGGTTTATTTTTTTTACTTATGTTTTTAAATATAGTTTATTGTCAAATTGGCTTACGTACAACACCCAGTGCTCATCCCAACAAGTGCCCTCCTCAATGCCCATCACCCACTTTCCCCTCTCCCCCACCCTCATCCACCCTCAGTTTGTTCTCTGTATTTAAGAGTCTCCTATGGTTTGCCTCCCTCCCTCTCTGTTGTAACTATTTTTTTCCCCTTCCCTTCCCCCATGGTCTTCTGTTAAGTTTCTCATGATCCACATAGGAGTGAAAACATATGATATCTATCTTTCTCTGACTGACTTATTTCACTTAGCATAATACCCTCCAGTTCCATCCACAAATTGCTGCAAATGTATGCGCCTCGATTTGATTGAGGACATAATAACACATGATACGAATTGTACAAAGCAATAAGTACATTAAGTGCTCATTTGGGTGGTAGCGGAAAGGGTATTAATGAGGGCAGTAGTAGATATGGTAGAAACAGACTTCATAAAAGATGTGGGATCTTGAGCCACGGAGGATAAATAGGATTTGGACCATAAGAGGTTATTAAGCTCCTATCCCATGGTAGGCCTGGTTCTCCATATGGGGAGTGAGGAATCAAGGTAAAGAAGTAACAGATAGAGTGGAGAAGAGCCTTGGCACAGAATTGGGGACTTTCTGGGAGAAGAAACCAAAGCTCAGAGCTGTCACATAAAGAATACTGCATCCTATGGAGAGGTTTAGGCCAGGGGAAGAACTGAACTCTTCTTCCCCCAAAGAATGTTTTTTAGGAGAAGTAAATGAGGGACGGGTGCCGATTGCCAACCATCAATTAGTATTTTTTAGATTCACCCTCAGCAATGCTCCAGTGTCCTCAGGAATAAAATCAGTTTTTAAAAGTGCGAGAAGGACACAGCTTTTCCTGGAGATCTTCCAGCTTTGAGTTAATCAATCGCACTTCTGAAGCTGTGAAATCTTCAGGTATCATACAGGTCCACAGGGGCCTGGAAAGAAAATACTTAGACTCAAAAGGATAACACTCATTTAAATATGTACATAATCAGCAGGCAGGGCTCAGTCTGTGCTCTGAATGAAGAATTGCAAACTTTAGGTCGTAAGTCAAGCTAGGACCCGTGGCAACCATTTAAATTATTTTAATTATTTTCAGGAGAAAATCGGAACCCAGAGAGGTCCAGCCCCTCACCTTGGATCCTATAGTAAGTGGGCTCAAATTGAAGTCTTGGGTCCAAGAACAATGTTTCAAATACATTAAGGTTTAAAGTGGGTGAAATGTCAGCATATCCAAAAAAAAATATCGCTGGTAGGAAACACAGAGCATGGGCATTTGTGCTTGCTTCTAAGAGGGGAAAACGAATGGCCAGGGAACAGGGGTAGGGGAAAGATTTACTATTCACTGAATACCTTTTTGTACCTTTTGAATTTTGTGCTGTGTATATGTTACCTAATCAAAAAAAAAATAATTTATTTTTAAGAGTTCAGCGGAGTCCTAAGTATTGCATTGTGTCCCCCATTGTGTCATGTTTGTGTAAAAAATATATATATATATATATATATTTTTTTTGACGAAGGTTATGTAAATGATTCTGCAGAAGCAAGGTTAAGCACTTTAGAAGTGGTGATGGCAGTTGGTTTCTACTTTGTGGCTAGAACAAGAGGCTCCTGAGCCTTAAGCCAATGCTATTCCAGAGTCCCAACTTCCTGCCAATTTTGATTGTGGCACAATCTGGCAGGATAAAACCCAGAGAAACACAAATCAATTAGCAGTCAGTGATTTCATTCACTTCAGAGCAAGATATGGTCATTAACAAACCGTGATGTCTCTGTTAGTCAAAACTGTCCTTTCCACGACAAGGGAAGATGCAAAGTCGGGAATCCAATGTAACTCACTAGTGAACCCCTTCAATGGCAGAGCCCCGTGCTAGAAGAATCAGGCTGCTCCTTGATCCCAGCGAACTGTTGCCCAGCAGAAGTGTGAAAATGATGTGTCAAAAGGGCAGTGGAACAATGGAAGAGCTAACCATCAGCTGGAGTTTTTCCAAACATAGTATTACGTGAAAGGATAGTCTGTGATGTGTTCCATGGAGATTTAATACATGAATCAAAATGTGAACAAGTGAGAGGAAACTGGCCCAAATTTCCCAAGCCAGTTTTTCTATTGATGCTTCAATTTTAAACTCCAGTTGATATGGAAAATTAGAATGTGGTATGTTAGACTTAAAAAAAATAATTACAATCCTGCTACTTCCTGTGCAGTAGGGAAAAGACTTATTTCTTCACTGGGCATTGAGACCCTAAAGTATTTTGAAGGATACAGAGGTGAGGTTTACTTTCCCCTTAGGTATCTACATATACCCACCTATTAATATTGTTTACAAAAGTATTATTTTAGTGGCTGTTAAACTGCTAAAGTCTAGAGTTACCCTTACTTGCTATTTAGTTTACAGTACATCTTCTAAATGATGTCTTTGAAACAATCTGATAATACTACCATTCATTAACTGCTCACTATATGCGAAGCACTGTGGTAAGTACCTGGTGAATTTTTCCACTCACTTCTCACAACCCCCATGAGGTACTTACAGAGGAAGCTCACAGAAGTTAAATAATTTGTGCTGGTTCACATATGGTAGAGGCAGGGATTCAAATCCAGCATGTTATTCAACAAGTATTTAATGACTGTCTATGTCATGAAAGGTAGAGGATAAACAACCGGGCTAGTCCCTGCCCTCTTGAAGTTTATGATCTTTAGAAGTCTTTGAATTACAAAGTCCATGGTTTTGACATTGACATTATACTACTTTCCTAGGTCTGTGCAAAGAGGAGCCACATTTTCTAAGGCAATTATTCCTAAGAGAAATATGGCAGCCTGAGGGAATCTGGCCAAGCATTTCTGTTCTCCTATCCTCCTTTCTCCATGGCTACTAAAGTCATATTTCTGTTCTGTGCTCAGAAGATAACTTCTGTGCCCTTAAGAAGTATAAAGAGGAGTCTGGAAGCACAGGCTATGGTAACAGATCTGGGTTCCGGACCCAGCTGGTTCATTTACTAGCTGCCTGACCTTGAGCAAGTAATCCCACTGAGCCCTAATTTCCCCCTCTGCAAAAATGTGTGTATTACCATTGCGCGTCCCTGTAGGGTGAACTAAATGAGATGATGAGCCCACCACACAGTACACGTTCAGGAGCAGAGGGTGGCTATTGTTATCAACAGGATTAGGGAGCACAAGAAAACCTCAGGCACATGTGTTATGAAGGTTTGTTTGTGTAGGCGCTTCTAGTTAGCACCCTGTTTGTACAGTCGTGTACAGGTATTCTCTCTCAAATGTGCACGCAATATAGTTGATCCCAGTGTCTGGGGCTTACGTACGCAATAAATATTAATTGAATGAACGAAAGACTAAAGGCAAGGTCAGTCTCAGCAAATTAAGAGGTTCAGATGTGGAGGACATACCTAAAACAGTCGATACAATTCCTCTCCTAAGCTTATGCCACTATGGTCCCGGAGCCCCCTTCAAGTTTCACTGAACTTCGAATGTAAATGCAAATTGGCATAAACATAAATATAAACGGGTATACGTATATTCAGGCCTCACCGTGTAGCTGTGAGATCAGATAAAACGCTGGATGGGAAAGTCATTGTAAATGAACCTCCTCTACAAACGTGAGTGTGGCTGGGTAGCAAAGTCGGCCCACGCCCACGCAGCAGTGGCAGGCGCCAAGCCCCCGCTCCGCCCCCTCTTCCTGGTTTTTCCCGGCAATCCGCCCCTCCGGCGTCATGTGACAGGGGTGCCCTGCCGGGCCGAGTTCCTGATTGGCTCGGCTGCAGAGCGTCTCGCGATTGGCCCGAGGCCGGCGGGCCCCCGCCTCCCTCCTCCTCCTCGCCGCGGCCCACGTGAGGGGGGCGAGTCACGCGATTTCCGGGAACCCGTCAGGAAGGACATAAACAAAACAAACCGAGGCAGCATGGAGAGGGGCCGCGGCCCCTGCAGCGGAACCGGACCGAGCCCCTGAGCCGCCCCCACACGCACAGGTGAGCTCCGTTGCCCTCCGCCCAGATCCCGCAGGGGTCTGGGCTGGAGGACTAGCCAGGCGAGGGGCGGAGGAGGGCCGCTGGCCTACGAGGCAGCAGCGCCGGGGCTCTGAGCCGGGCCGGCGCGGGGCGGGGGCCGGGACCAGGGCCGAGTCTGGGGGCGCGCGGGCTTCAGGCTGCCGCCTGCCGGTCACGGGGTCCCCGGTTCCCCTCCCCCACCCCCGGCCCGGGACGGTTATATAAAAGCGCGGGGCGGCGGTAGAGGGGACCCACGGGTGGGCGGCAGGGTAGACCGGGGGTGGGCAGCTCCAGGCGT